CTACTTATTTAGGTTCTATGTGCTATGGTGCACCTGTATGGGCCGATAGGGCGACCGTAGGCGCTGTCCGTCGCAAACTGTTACAAGGCCAACGACTTGCACTGATATTTTTGTGCAAGGCATATAGGACGGTTAGCACTGAGGCTTTGCCGGTGTTGGCAGGTGTCCTTCCGGTCGATCTCGAGGTGCAGAGACGTGCAGCCATGTACTATTCAAGACAAAACATGGAATGCGATTTCTTGGGCGCGCGGGATCGCGGTAAAATTACAAGATTGCTTCAACAGCAGTCCGATGTCTATAATGACCTCATAGACGAATGGCAGCAACGCTGGGACGAATCATCCAAGGGCGCCATCTTTACCAATTTTTTCCATCTGTTCGCGAACGGTTGTCGAGGACATGGCTTGAGGTGGATCACTGTGTCGCTCAATTTCTTACGGGTCATGGTAACTTTAAGAGCAAGTTGTATTCATTTAAATTAGTCGAGTCACCATTGTGTCAATGCTCATCACCTAACTCTCATTATGAACAGTCTGCTCATCATATCCTCTGGGAATGTAGTCTTTGGTATAATGAACGTAATATAATGCTGAATAGCTTGCAGGTGACATCTGGGGCGGTATACTATGGGGATCTTGTGTCAACTAGGGTGAATTTCCGTGCGTTTAGGCGATTCTGCCATACATATTATAGAAATCAAATATAGCTCATGTAGGACCCGTAATATTTTGTGGCCGTGGTGCTTCCCTGTTTAAAAGGGTGTATGCCTATTTTACTTCATTTTGTCTCCCGCTTTGCTAAGGAGGGAAGTGGATTTACTGTATTTCCAACTCCTCCAATTTTCTTCTGATTAATTTCGTTGCGGGTTCCAAGACAGTTTAATTTCTTCCTGGGACTTCCCGAGTGTCATAACTCGGTGTGTTCGTGGGTCACTGCTGTGGATCCTGGTGTACAGGAGTTACAGTGGTGGGCGTGTGGGTGGGATTAGTCCCAAGTTACCTTATTTGCCCCCTATAACAAGAAAGAAAGGCAGAAACATTAGATTTTTATTTGCATACAGTCGTTAATGGCGTAGTGGTTTAAGCGGTCGCCATGCCGCTTACTTCTGCGCTAAGTGTTGTGGGTTCGATCCCCACAAGGGACGACACTTTGTGTGATCCACAAATTGTTGTCCTGAGTCTGGGTGTTCTTTGTGTCCGTTTCATGTATACTTGTAAAGTTCACTGCGACACAGGATATATTTCTAGTGCGGGAGTTGTCTTTTTAAACAAAAATAAAAATCAATTAAGTCATTATTTATTAAGTACTTTACTGTTATTTGTATATTGGTTAACTACAGTTCTATGTTGTACATATTTAACAGAATTGTAGACATTAATTGTACCTTAGAATTATCGCTTTTATATTTCGCCCGTTTTTTCTATATTTTAATGGCCACGATTATAGTTATTCTTTGCTCCACACTTAAAAAAATTAAATGTCCTTCCTACTTTAAAATCCGTAGAAACGTTCTCTTTAAGTATATCTCTTTTAGACACACATGTACTTGTAAATAAGACAAGGCAAACTAAAAGTTTACAATTTGCTATATTAAAGTATTAAAACCAAATACTGTTTATTAAAATTTCCCAGGTTTATACGTAGGTGGCGCCACCATGATGGCCGCTCACTTAACGTGGAGTACTGGGGGTTGTGTAAACTCCGTGATGAGTTACGTGCGAACGCATAGACCGCCCTGTTTATTCTGATATTGGGTGTAACATTGAATTAAGGTTACTAGATGCAGTGACACCTGCTGTTATAAAGCTTTTTTTAATTTCTGGTATGAATTTATTGAGGAGTAGTATAAAATTAAATTAAAACGGAAATTATAACCTTTCAAAAAGAATACAAGATTGAGAACTTCTTTTTTCGAAGTCGGTTAAATAGACTAGGTTAGGTAACAAGCTACGGTCACCCCGGTATGTGCCACAGACATGGAGTACGGCAGGGAAGACTCCAGAAGCCGCCGATGCGTTCCTGGAGCTCCTTAAGACTACCGAGGTAGGCCGCCGCGGGGTTTAGTGGATAGACCGGTTCTCCGGGAGTCCCACGCACGCCTTGCGTTTCCCCAACGGACGGTATGGTGTGAAAAGCATTCCACGCGAGAAAAAAGAAGGTAACAAGGTTATTATAGGTACCTAATTAAAAAAAAACTGGAAATTTTAATTTTAATAATTTATAAAAGTGTTACTCTTACAATTAAAATGAATCTAACGACACCTTCCAAGATAAAATTCATAAAGAAAATAAAATTCAAAAATCGTTTAGTCTACACTGCGAAGAAATGTACAAACACACATACACTCGGAAACCACAACCCTACTTAGAACAATCTCCTTTCTAGCACAGTCGGATAAAAATCACCCAATTTTGATATCTGATCCCAACCCGCATCAGCCCTTTTTTTTCTGTGCGAATATCCCCTCGGATACCACCAACCGAACTGCCACCCACCCAAGAGAGTTCTAAACCTCTCCCGGTACCGCTCCTCCATCTCCTTTGCAAGCATAACTTGCAGAAGAAGACGGCGGAGTTCCACGAACTCTCGGAACGAGCGGAACCCGCATCAGCCTGCAAAACATACGTGTTATTTTAATTACGAGTATATACTTGATAAATAAATCCATGTTAATAAAAAAGCTGAATTATTGTATTTATGTTGAATTAGTGTATTTATGTAAATATAGGACGTTTCAAATATTGTAACACCAGGACTTTTAGTTAGAAATTTTAGTAGTCTCTAGTCGTTCTAAATTTGATCTTCACATGTCAAAAACTATCCAACGTTCTCGTCCAGAGAACGTGATCACGCATTTCATTATCATGTTTATACAGAATGTCGTCTAATTTTATTCAGGACTAGTAACTTTGTATTGGAAACCTGTTAGATATATATAAGTAAGAGACATGAAAATTATTGCTACTTTTAATTAAATCATATTCATATGATGAAATAATTGGTTGGTCACTGTGATTTCACCTGTGATAAATCGCTACTTACATTTTTTAATGGTATAAGGGGCAAACGAGCAGACGGCTCACCTGATGGTAAGCAACTACCAGCGCCTAAGGACACCTGCAACTCAAAAGTCACATTTGGTCATATACAAAGATTAATGCCACCAAAACCAATCAAACCGACTTTCTTTTAGATTTAGTCCTTTCGCCTGTTTACCGTAACAATAATAAAAGTCGCAGTGATGTTGTAGATGAGTCACTTGTGTGATGACAATGATTAATCACAGTTGACTGTGATTTTATCCCATGGCTTACTAGGCATGCTTCTTACTAGTAACTATCGTCGCCCATGATCACTTACAACTATGAGTCACAACTGTGTTGCCGCCCCATCGTCATCAGAATAAGGGTTTGAGGTTCTGGTTGCTTTACTCACTCGGTGATAGGCAACTAAAGAATAGCCTAACACCGGTTTTCTGTAGGTATATTGACGGGAAGCTCTTGAAGAAGGTTTTAATCTTATATCCATATTCTCCTTCGGTATAAGCAGAGATATAACGCACTAGCTTTTGCTCGTGGCTCCGCCCGCGTGTATGTCGGTGACGGCGGTAAATAGTAGCCTATGTCCTTCTCCAAGAATCAAACTATCTCCATGCCAAATTTCATCAAAATGCGTTCAACGGTTATTGATTCCCTACACAAACTTTTCACCTTTTTAAAGGATGATTTCTGGAAGAAACACTATCCTTCAGCGGGTTCAACGGTTTAAGCGTGAATAGGTAACAGACATAGGCCTCTCCCATTGCACGCCACTTAGATCGATTTTGGGCTTCTCGCATCCAGCTCCTTCCAGCCATCTTGCGCAAATCGTCACTCCACCTAGCCTGTGGGCGTCCTACACTACGTTTACCGAGACGCGGTCTCCACTCAAGAACTCGTTTTCCCCAACTCAGCTCAGCGTGTCACTGTATGGTGCGCTATATGGTCTGGAGGCGTGATTGGGCCGTTTTTTTCGAAGATGAGGGTGAAAATGCGGAAACGGTCAATGGATCACGCTATCCCGAGATGTTAACAACTCAATTTTGGCCTATTATTGATGACGTGGATATCACTGGCATGTGGTTTCAACAGGACGATGCCACATGTCACACAGCCAATGAAACGATCAATCCTTAATAACGGACATACTAGCACACATCAAAACAATGTTGTGGTATATTTAATAGTGCCATTGTATCTACCTGTGAATTGCAAAGGAGTGGTCATGAGTTTGTTTGCCCTTTCTTCTCATAAGGCTCAACCCCTTGGAAACGGGCGGTTGTAGATCGGCACAGGCATATCATAGATTTTGTATGGGTTTGATTTTTGTTAAATTTATTTGCTTACTATTTGACAAAACAGAGATTGTTGCTTTTGTGTGTGTTGATCTATGACTTTAGAGTCTACATAAAAGACGATTTCAAACAATTTTGAAAATTTTATGAAATAAAGAGAGTTTGAGTTTGAGTTTATTGCAAACGAAATTTCACGAAATTCAGCGGGTAAGTGGCCAGCCAGCCGGCCAGATTTAACACCACTGGATTGTTTCTTGTTGGGCTATGTTAAGAACAGAGTCTATACGGAGCCAATCGAATCGATTGCAGCCTTAAAACTCAAAATCCGTGATGTGATTAACGAAATAGATCCGCCATTTTGCCAAAAAGTGATTAAAAACTTTGATGAAAGAATCGACATCTGTCAGCGTGCTCGTGCAGCGGTGGACATTTGCCAGATATCATTTTTCATTCATAATTACCCAACTTTTCTCTTCGTAATACAATAAAAATTTGAATCATCGTCATCTAAATTCTTTGTCTTATTTTGTTTTAGAAAACAAAGTTCTTGTTGAAAAATCCTTTACATACAGTATAGATTTATATTCATGTCGGCACTTTTTAAAATTTTCTAGTTTTCACTTTTACCGGCACTCCCGGAGTTCCACTAGTTTTTTTTATACGTCCATGCATCTCAAGTATTTGTGGTATCGATGTTGTTCGTATGACTGTTTGGGTAAGGTTATTAAAGAAAGATAGAAATAAATAAGTTTATTTCGTAGGACAAAGCATACACCTCAATTATAAATAAAAAAAAATACATCAACAGCCTTTAATAGTCCACTGCTAGACATGGTCCTCTCTTTAGAAAGGAGATTTTGGCCTACTATACTACGCTGGCCAAACGCGTTGGTGTAGGATTTGTTTCAAGTTTTCCTTCTCTTCTTCAATTATCTAACATCATACAGTTTTTATTAGGATTTAAAATGTTTAAGTATCGTCATTACGGCCGTAGGACTCCTGTCAGATAAATCCCTCCCTAAATGAGTTCCAGGAAGACCGTTTAAACCATACTGCCTTCACTTTCGGCTTGCTATTTTCTCCACTAAACTCCACCTTATTTGTCCATTACATTTACAACTGAATTTTCATTGTTACAGCAACCACAGCAACTAAAGAACACAGATCTCCAGAGCAGGAGGAACAGAGATCGTCTCCCACTCCCGGACCACCCAGCCCACAGAATAACGGCACTGCTGGTAAGCATTTCTTATCTGTATTGTCCATTGTCTGATGCCACAATTTCCACGAAGTTTACTGAACGCTTACCAATTAATTTCTTTTTGATTACGCAGCCGCTCTTTCCTCTACGGAGTCTCTGTCTCCACCGCTGGCTGAAGCGTCACGGTCAGCGCCAGCTCTGCAGAGACTCAGGAGGTTCCTGTCGGCTCTGCAGCAGTTTGCCACAGATGTTGGAGCGGACACAGGAGAGAGGGTTCGGCAGCTCATTTACAACCTTGTGGTGAGTATTGAATACTTCTTCTTCTTGGTCAGAAGAATGTCCTTAATAAAGAACATACTGGCACACATCAAAACAATGTTGTGGTAAAAATGGTGTGATTTGTATCTACCAGTTAATTTAAAAAAAAGTGGTCGTGAGTTTGTTTTCCTTTTCTTCTCATAATAGTCTAAGATCCGGCTGCAAAATCAATGCACTCATCGAGTATGTGCTAGAAAACCAGTTTTTACGCATATTTATGATTAGGAGATTATATATCTACCAGTTTGCCCATCAAAATGTGGTCGCTAGTATTTTTAATTAAATTTTTGTTAATTGATTTTTGGAAAAATATTTCGTTCACTTGCTTTTTTATTAAATAAAATATCGTCTATAAAATGGCTTTAAAGCGTCGTACAGCTAGCAATCGCTATCGTCGTCTGACTTGTGATGTTACGCGCTAACTCACTTTCACTCTACCTTAAATATTTACCATCTTTAACACCCAGCAACCCTTATTTGCGGCCAGATTTAGTTAGGCAACCGTATATTACAATAAACAGAAAAAAAATAGCTTTAATTTGATATATAAATAATAAACGTACGTTATGAACGTATAAATGTCTCAAAATCATACCTGTTTACACCTGGCTGCGAAGAGGTGCGGGCGAGTGCGCAACGGCCACCGTGATTTTTCAGAGTCTTTATATAATGTCCGTGTGGTGACGGATTAAGAATACAGAGTGTCACCACCCCTATTCATCCCGTGGGTGTCGTAAGAGCCGACTAAGGGAAAAAACTACGCAGGACAACAGCACTGCAGAGAGAAGGAAAACTTGACACAAACCCTATACCAACCCGTCTGGCCAGCGTGGTATAGTAGGCCAAAGCCTCCTTTCTAATGAGAGGCTTATGTCCAGCAGTGGACTATTAAAGGCTGTTGATGATGATGATGATGATGATGATGATTATATATTTTGCCGTGAATTGCGCATCCACCAAAAGTAGATAAAACTATTATGAATGGGATTATCTACGTGATAGTTTATAAACAAGCAGATGGGTCTAATCTATTATATCTTTTCTTTTTATTAATCTCTTCCCGATATAATTTTATATGAGTTATAATGCTGTTAGACGACCAGATGGCGTAGTGGTTTGTGTAACGGACTGAGATTCCAAAGGTCGCGGGCTCGATTCCCGCTCAAGTCAAACATTTGTGTGCATAAACATTTAATGTTTGATTTGGTCTGGGTGTTTCAATGTATAATAAGTATGTATTTACAAAAAAAAGTATTTATCAGTTGTCTTGTACCCATAGTACAAGCTCTGCTTAGTTTGGGACTAGATGGCGTTGTGTTAATGTGGTACATTATTTTATTAGTTAAAAAAATATAATGCAACCGATAGTTAAATATTTTTTTCATATCAGTAAAGATAAAAAATACTTTCTTTAATGTTTTTTATACGTTTTGGAAAATCAAAAAAATTACTTAGTTAGCTTTGTTGATTGATTGTCAAGTAAATGTCGTTAATTTTAAAAAAGATTTTTCTGTGTCAAAATAACTTTCTACGGTATCTACTTTCTACTCTTAAATATGCAGATTGACCTTGCTATAACCCTGTATATTAGAAACGGCTTATTGCGAAATTCCACTTTAAACTAATATATATTATTTTCCTCACCAGTCTGGCACTTTGAATGTCGAAGAGTTCCAAACAGGCGTCCAGGAGTGTACCAACTATCCTTTAAGAGCATCAGTTCCAGGATTTTTGAGAGCACTCCTGCCTCTAGCTCAGAGGGATCTCCACACGAGGGCCAGAAGGGCTAAGCAGGTATATATTGATCGTTTACAGAAGATAACCCCTATTTATTCTTCCTTAAAATGAAGGCCATTTTTTAGTTGGTAATATTTTGTCCCATTGCACATATATATATATTATATTTATATTATTACACATATATATTATATTTACATGGGAGAGGCATATGTCCAGCAGTTGACTGCGATAGGCTGATGATGATGATGATGATGAATATTTTGTCTAAATTATGAGAGTTAGTAAACGGCTTACGTATGCTGACGTAGTAAATTTCCATTATAGTAACACTGAGTTAAGTTTGTGATTATAGGGACCGACAAAATATAATAATTGATCATCAGCCAGGGCCTTAAAGCTAGGATTAGACGGTAGAAAACTATAAAGATTCTATCTAGAATGTTGTACTGCCTAAAATTTGATCGTTCTGACATTTCTTCCATTTTTTTTTTGTTATGTCAGCGGGGTCAGACGAGCAGACGGGTCGGAAAGTAACCATCGCCGCCCATGAACGTCTGCAACTCAGGAGTCACAAACGCGTTGCCGGCCTTTTAGAAAGGAGTACGCTCTTTTCTTGAAGGTTTGAAGGTCGTATCGGTCCGGAAATACCGAAGACGATAATCCGTTCCACAGATTAGTTGATTCAATGTGGCAACTTTGGCCGACCACAAAGCATCAGCTAACCAATTTTCAAGTTTGTAGCCCCAGCGTTGAATCGAATCATAGGGCAAATAATTTTAAATGTACCTATCGATAACTCAGAGAACTAGGGTTTTTAACTTGGCCTTCTTAACTATCGAGACCTTCTTTAATATATTTTTCATTTACCAGACGCCTCTCCAATACATCAGGTGTCACGAACACCTGATCCTGGAGTCAGGAGGCGACAGCAGCGACATCTTCGCTCATCCACCTGGAGCTTCGGAGACTGGGGTCAAGAGGCGAGCTAGTGATCCGTAAGTACAATTTTCACTATTTTGTAGTCATCATCATCATCAGCCTATCGCAGTCCACTGCTGGACATAGGCCTCTCCCATTGCACGCCACTTAGATCGATTTTGGGCTTCTCGCATCCAGCTCCTGCCAACCATCTTGCGCAAATCGTCACTCCACCTGGTCTGTGGGCGTCCTACACTACGTTTTTTGTAGTATTAGGAGAAATTTTGAAAATATTAAAATTAAGCGTTGGTACAAGATATTTTACAATATAATAACTTTACTTTTACCAATATCTGTCAATAAAATATTTTTACAACAATTGAGATCTAGCACCCCACGCGTTTTTACGATAAAATTATTTTTCTCTTTAAACTTAAACCTTAACTTAAATCCTACTTTTTAGTTCGGCTAGTTACAAAGCGTGTTTTTTTTAGATTCTTTAAAAACTATAATTTATTAACAAGCCTTTTTACACGCTTTATATTAGCTTCACTTGTATGTTTGTTTGTAACCGACTCCTTTGGGCGTGATTTTAGACTGACTTTAAACGGTCAACTTTGTAGATATATCGAGGACCGATGAATGATTGAAAAAAAAATAGTTTGAAAAAACTAAAAAACACATTTTTTATAGAAAACCAAACTAAAAAATAGAAAATAAATTTGAAAAAGCGTTGGGTGCTTTTACTATTGCCAACAGGCACCCAACGCTTTTTTTCAAATTTATTAAAATCTATTTTCTATTTTTTATTACCCTAATGCGCCAGACGGATGATCTTTCGAGTGTATGTATGTATATATGTTTTTTGCCACGCACTGTAATCTACACTGCTTGATGGAATTTGGCGTTTGAGTACCGGTGAAGATCAGATCAACACTGAGGGTATGGCAATTTTAAAAATTAAAAACCTCAGTTTGTTAATTTTAATTTTATAATTAGCTTGTTTAATGGAATTGGTTTTATTAGGAGTTTAAACTCTCTTTATTTAAAAAAAACATTCCTTTAAAGGAGAAAACAAAAGACCTTTAGCATTTATAAATAAACAAATCGATTGTAATATCGTATTCTATTGGGTTTATAGTTTATAAGTATTGGGCTTATAGTAGATAAGTGTTCTTTGAGTTTATTTTCTACTCTGTGGTACAATAAAAAACCGGTCAGGTACGAATCGAACTCGTGCGCCGAAGGTTCCATGCCTACCCAGATTTTACGTAGATTTTCGCGAAAATTTATAAGTACCAAAATTGATCTTAATTTTCAACTTCTTATTTTTTGGAATTATGCCTTTATTTGTGCTGTAAGACGTTTCTTTTCGCCAACTTTCGTGTTTCTAGGTCAACGGGAACTACCATATAGGTTTTCGACCCAAAACCTATAGGGTACTTCCGGTTGAACGTATAACGTACGAAACCCTCAAAATCGAATTTCATAGGGGTATGAGCAATCAAATTCCGACCACGATACAGCAACAATCGAAATTAGTGCATGTATCAGTATAGTCGATCGGCAGCAGGTGAGTGTTGTCGACAGGTTATTTTGTACTTTCGCCCCATACCTATGAACGTGGAGTCTACACAAACCGTTATTGGATGTGTAAGTAGGTATATTTGATCTCTGCAGTGTTGCTAACACTGCAGAGAGAAGGAAAACTTGACACAAAACCCGTCTGGCCAGCGTGGTATAGTAGGCCAAAACCTCCTTTCTAAGGAGAGGCTTATGTCCAGCAGTGGACTGTTAAAGGCTGTTGATGATGATGATGATGAATTATAGATAATTATCAACCAGTTCATCCAACCCCTATTCATCCCGTGGGTGTTGTAAGAGTCAACTAAGGGAAAAAACTACGCAGAACAATAACACTGCAGAGAGAAGGAAAACTTGACACAAACCCTATACCAACTCGTCTGGCCAGCGTGGTATAGTAGGCCAAAACCTCCTTTCTAAGGAGAGGCTTATGTCCAGCAGTGGACTATTAAAGGCTGTTGATGATGATGATGATGATCAACCAGTTTCTGAAACGCTGATTGGAATATTGTTCAACTAGACAAGATGTCCGGTGTCAAAACTGTTCGAGTCTCTGAAACGCGGAACAAAGATAAAATTTACTGACAGCATTCGAGCATTCGAATTTATAACATACCAAAATATATTGATAACTTCAAACAACGATAGTCATCTATCTATACTAATATTATAAAGCTGAAGAGTTTGTTTGTTTGTTTTTTTGTTTGTTTGTTTGAACGCGATAATCGCAGGAACTACTGGTCCGATTTGAAAAATTCTTTCAGTGTTAGATAGCCCATTTATCGAGGAAGGCTATAGGCTATATATCATCACGCTAAGAATGTTTCAAAAAACGGAGAAAATTTATTACTATTGAGAGACGCAGACAAAGTTGCGCGGGTCAGCTAAAAGTTAAGAAGGTACATTATAAAATCCTTTCCACTTGGATTAGACTCTTTTAACCTTTATAAGATTACAATTCCTTTATCTTAACAATTATACTTCCATGGTAAAAAACGAAATTACATTTTATAAAAGAAGAAAACAAACAGGCGGAACGCAACGGATTAGAACTCGTGTGTCAAACCTATGAAATCCACAAGCCTGCTTACCCCCTTAAAGATTCCATAAAGGTCGTTAAAACCCTCCCATAACACACACAACCTGTGATAATGAAAGAACCGATCAGCGCCATCTGCTCGTCGCTATTAACCAACGCCTGTTGGTAACGTTATAGCAAACTCCTAATCACACTAATTGCGAACACTAATCTGGCAGGCGTTTTAAGTCGTTACCTTAATTATTTTAGTTGCGTACCTTCGTCAAACGTATATTTTTATGGATTCTATAAGTGAAATGGCAAATTAATTATGATATTAATGCTTTCAATGTAGTATTTTATAACCAATTTATAATTATCCCATTTATAAACGAGAAAGATTGTGAGGATGGATGTTTTAATATGTCATTCAACATCCATTAGTTACATAACCTAAGGGGCTAAAATACTTAAAACAATATCAGTAAGCTAGTACCTAATTAATTGTATATTTGTATCATACATAATTTTTAAAAACGTTAACAAACTAGTGTTCTCGACTAAAAATGTTCACGAAACACTTGGCAAAGCTTCGCGCGCTTGTTGTAATAAATAAGCTCACACCACCTAACGAATTGGTGTTAGCAGTATTTAAGCTGGCGCGGCCGCAACGCTCCCTGCCAAATTGTCCAATAATAATAATTTAACGCACTGGTTAGGGCGGTTTGGACCTTTGGGCTATATTTTTCAAATATATTGGGAACCAGATTGTGTCGATTGAATCTAAATCAGTTATATAATAAAGGGCAAAAGGGACATCGTATGTCTTCAAACTTATTATCTATTTAGTATTCACTAGCTGGTACTTGCGTCTTCGTTCGCGTGGTACTTGCAAAGCGCTGTCTTAGTGGTGCATAACGGTACGCGTATGAGACGGTACGGTATGAGACCTCGAGTGCGATTACCGGACCGGGCAAAATTTTAAAGTGTTTCTCTGAGAGGAAAAATAGCCGTCTATCGAAACTTACTCCTTATATGGACAGCTATTTGAAAGTAAAATATTGCACAAAATCGGTCCAGCCGTTTTGAAGATTACCCGGAACAAACAGACCGACAGATAGACAGACAAACATATTTGAATTGGTTTTTAGGCATAGATAACGATCAAATAACCGTATAAGCATGAAAAAACCTATAATTTTGACATTACAGACAGACACTTCAATTTTTTTTTTTTTTGTATGGATAAAGAAAACTTCGTACCCTTTTTTGAAACAAATATGACGCTATTGGCGCACGGAAACATATTATATTTATATTAGAAGTGCTTAAAGCAAGAAATTCTTAACAAAATATTTGTGTGTGAGTGCTCCTTTCCTCCAGAACTATTTTGTTTGTCTCCGCCAACCTCACTCACTCAGAGTAAACCAACGAAAGAAATACTTAACATAGATTTTCTGTGAAGCCATGACTCTCCTAAGGTTAATAATAATAATCTTTATTGAAAATTACACTCACTGTTGAGGTACAATATCACAATAGTACAAAATATCTGACACTGACGGTACTAAATGCTGTCTACCAAACTAGGCGAGGCCTGTATTTTGGATGACAATATCCAGCCGCAGGAAAATTTACATGTAAGATTACGCTAAAGTGAAATATAAGGCAGTTGCAATACAGATACATAACAATAAAATAAAATAGGTATAATAAAAACTGTGTAGCGTAAGGACGTGAAGGTGTGTGTGTGTGTGTGTGTGTGTGTGTATGTTTGTGTGTGTTATCGTGTGTGCGAGTCGAGTGTGAAAAACGCGAAGATACCCAGTTTATCACAAGAGAGTAGAATAAAATAAATTATTTAAGTTGCCGGTTGCCAAAACTCGAATCTCCCACGTATTATATTATTATTATTATGTTATTTAATTCTTATGTACCTATTTTGTACCTATAACGTTATTCGAAAGATCATTAAGTCCATAAAACTATCTTATTACCCTCGGTATCCTAAGTTTATACATTCTTAAAGTTAAAATTAAAATAAGTAGAAAGAGTATAAATCTATCCCGCATTCATCATTATGTTGTATAAACAGAAAGTTTTCAAGTTCAAGCTGGCGCCTGCCATTTTGTAGCAGCTGCTGTAAGTTTGATCGTCGGCTAATTGCTATGAGTAAATAGTCAGGCGCTAGTTGGTAGCCGCGCTAACATATGTTGCGTATAAAATTACTGTTTGTTCGCTTTTGATATATTGCTGGACGTTAATTGTAATGACTTATGAATCTATTCAAAGGCTAAATGGGAAGGTATATACAGTTGAATATGTAAAGTCATGTCAAAGAGGTAACCATTTTTGACTAAAATAATGCGCCGAATCCGCAGCAAAGAAATCTTTAAAAATGTAATCAATCTCTTTAGGTAAACTGGAAATATTTAAATTCTGGTCATTATGTTAATTGTTTATTCTAAATTATAT